GCAAGGAAGTCAAACACATAACTATGGAAGGAATACATCACTCTCGACAAGAACACTGAGTACAGTTTCTATCACAGATGCGCACATTCTCATATGCCAGGCCCCCACCCATGTCTTCATATGCAGGTACAACTTCCACATACTCAGGTTCACTATCAGATTCAGTCCTAATGTCCATTCCCAACCCATGTCTTCATATGCAGGTACAACTTCCACATACTCAGGTTCACTATCAGATTCAGTCCTAATGTCCATTCCCATCATGTGTTTCTATACATAAGATGTATGTCTTCCTTTACATAGGTTTTGCTATGTGATATATTCATTTGTTTATACTGACAGGAACCAGCATTACTCTCTTTCCTATACAATCTTTCCTTATTGTAAACATATAAGAAAAATATTCCAACACTGGTTAGGCAATTCTGGGAGTTGAAATCCACAGTTAACGATGCTAAGGTTGAGAAACACCGACTTAGTGTATCTCTATCAGGCTGTGCCTATTCTGAGCTTTAGTTTTTCTTTCCTTAGTTTCTGGAAGCTGCCTCGTATTCTTGTTGATCGTTAGGACTGCAAGATAATGTGCCTTATGGGTTAAAGGTAAACACGCGTGTGTAAAGTGTTATTGCTGCAAATGACTGACTCTTCCCAGCCGCCGGTAAAACCTTTTTGCCATGAGGTCGGGCGTTTCTAGTTCACACTTCCCCTAAGGCTTTTGAAGCCTTATGCAAATTATTATCCATCATTCAGCCTTATTTGGAATACTAAGAATAACAACTTGTTCCTGAAAGACACCCAAAACAATGCACTCTAAGCTTTTCACTTGTGGTAATTTCCCTCTCCCACCCCCGCTTTTATTGCAAACTTTTAAAAGCCCCCAAACCTGTTTCCCCACCCTTTTCGGAAAATCCAACAAGCTTTATGCACTTGGCAGCAACAACAGTAAACTACGCACCTAACATGCTACCTACATTTTTGTTTTAAGAGAGAAAGAAGCAAGTCTTATCCCCTCCGGCTCTTTTTCATCACAGTCCCTTAATTCATGGCTCATGCTTCCCTGAGCCATCTGCTTACAATCAAAGTAAACGTCCGTATAAGCTTTTGGTCCCTCCTTGCTCTCGAAAATGCGGGAGTTCTCGTGCCGCCGTCTCCGCCTTCTTCGGCTGCAACTGCAAGCCGAAAACAAGCGCGTTTTAAGAAGTTTCTTGCTTGCTCTGCTATCTTCGTTTCACGCGTTGCTGGACTGTGGTCTCCCTTTGAGCTTGTGGCGCGGAGACTTGAACATTGTCAACGCGCTTCCTTCAAGTTTGATCTTTAGTAAAGCTCCAGTCCGCCCCCGCATTTCTGGAGAGCGGTCCAGTTGGACCGGCTTCCCATTTTAAAGCAAAGCCGAAATAGGGACTGGCTTGGTAAGTTTTCCAGGACTGGCTTTCTTACGTACCTGGACAAGCGATGGGGAAGCAAGATTGCCTTGAAACAAAGGCAGGGAATATAGCGCGTTATTTAAAACTATGAGCATAGGATTCTGAAACAAGGGCAGCCTATTGACTCTGAGCAATTCAAGACGGCGGGGGGGGGGGGGGGGGG